CACACACACACACACACACACACACACACACACACACACTCAGAGTCTGCTGAGAAAATTAGCATGCAAGCCTCTATAAAACAACGCTGGTCCGTGGGTTTCACACTTCAACGGCCAAAGTAACAGATCCCCCATTGTGGCAAAGTGCCTGCCACTCAAATAATCACCAAGACTTCTCACGTACGCCAAACCGACGAAGGCGTGGCACCAGATTATGCTCATGCCCACCAAGTACTGAGCACCAGATTATGCTCATGCCCACCAAGTACTGAACACCAGATTATGCTCATGCCGCCCAGCGAGTACTGAGTACCAGTAGCAAGGTATATGGATAATCTGCCCTCCACCAGATATTGCAGGCCAGCGAGTACTGAGTACCAGTAGCAAGGTATATGGATAATATGCCCTCTCCTCCCCGGGTCCCTGCTATGCCCGTGATTTTCCCAACTGCGTCTCTCCAGACGCATTTGTCTGTGCGATTGCCGGTCCGCCGCCGTCCTGGCTGCGCCCCCCCCCGCGTGGTATCAGTATAGGCCTCGGGGCAATATGGCCATAAGGCCCTCGCCACGCCACTGTCCAAATGTGAAAAAGACAAAAATGTGGCAGGCGCATCTGGCCATGTTCTAGCGAAAAGTTCATTCTCATTTTGCACGTTTCGAGAGTGCTGTGGCGATTCCCTAAGGTTTGTTTTCAGACAGATCGATCGCGCGGAAGAGAGAGCTCGCCGGGGCGGCGGGAGGGTGGCAATCATCCTCGAAAACTACAGTACTTCTTCTTCTTCTTCTTTTTTTTTTCTTTTTTTTTATATTATTATCGTAGCGGGACTTAGGAGGAAGAAAGACAAAAAAATTGGCGGTGTATGGAAATTCCTTCTCGTTTTGCACATTTGGCGAGTAGCGGACCGAGGCCCTTGGGCCGCCACCACCGCGCTTTTATTGCTATTTCCTCTTTTTCCTTTTTTTTCCTTTTCCATTTTCACATTGCGACGGCCTTGAGATATCTCAACAGCGGGGACTGTGCGTTGAGAGCTGATCGGCCCCCGGCAATTCACAAAGATTTGGTTTTACTCGTCAATCAGGTTCCATCATCATCTGGATTCGAACTGGGGTCTCTGTATCTCAACACTTCGTGGGGGTACCCACTCAGCTATAGGCTGTTGGGTCTATTTCATTTCTCAATGTGCTCGAGATGTAGCAATAGGAGGGGCGTTACACGAAGGTGAATTGGCGTATGGCGTATTCATCAGAGTAGAAAATAGAATACCCTCTGTAGGATTTTATCGAGGCGTAATATACTGTCAGTAGCAGGACTTTTCGACGGACATCTAGGCGTAATTGAGGTCAGATACATCCAGTTGCAGGTGCAATTACGGTCATATCATATTCATCCAGGAAAGGCCCAGTGTGAGTATGCCCTCGACGTTTGATCTTATTAGATAGAGCTTCATCCTCAGATGACCTGAGTAGTTGGGTGATGGAGATGTTTTTTTTTTTTTTTTTTTTTCAACAAAGAATGATGATCCTTTTCATTTGCTTCCGTTCTCTCTTTTTTGTAATTTGCTTCCTTTTTTTCTTTTTTTTCTTTTTCTTTTCCCCCCTCCCGAATCGTCTGCTTCCTTTCTTCGGATACTCTCAATGATGACCCGAGTAGTTGGGTGATGGAGATCTTCTTCTTCTTCTTCTTCTTCTTCTTCTTCTTTTTTTTTTTCTTTTTTTCTTTTTTTTCCCAACAAAGAATGATGATCCTTTCATTTGCTTCCGTTCTCTCCTTTTGTAATTTGCTTCCTTTTTTTTTCCTTTTTTTTTCCATTTTTTTTCCTTTTTTTCCCCCCCTCCCGAATCGTCTGCTTCCTTTCTTCGGATACTCTCAATGATGAAATAATTGCGCCCATCCCCCCCCCGAAACAAAAATTGTTGCCGCCGTTGTTAAAAAAAAAAAGAAGAAAAAACGTTGCCGTCAATTGTTGCCATTGAATTACTGTTTTTTTTTTTTTTTTGTCATTGAAATGTAGCTGAAGAACAATCTGTCTTTCTAGTAAAGGAAAGCGGAAAAAAAAAAAACGATGATTGAAGAGTCTATATACACACACACAAAAAAAAATAAAAATTAAAAATAAATAAATAAGTAAATTATCCATCCATCCAGATGTGTACCAATCAGGTGCCTCAATGCAGCTTTCGCTCATGAAGTGTTGAAACGCAGACCTGAGTTCGAATCCAGGTGAACGAAATCCCTCCCCCTTTCTTTTCTCTCCTCCCTCAAGTTGTATGGTAGCCGCAAAGTGCTGAGTGAAAGGCTTTTTTTTTTAATTTTTTTTTTTTTTAATTTTAAAGAGCAATTTGTAATTCATCCATCGGCTGGGCGTAATCATCATCAACGCGCTCCCCCCCCCCCAAAAAAAAAAGACCATATCCGTATATCCATATATCCATATATCCATATGAAGTATTATGAACAGATATATTCCTATATATATTGTCCTCTTCTCCCTCCCTTGCTGCCTACTGTTTACCGGGCAGCTCTGTTTGACGCATACGATATATACCTTCCTTGTTTTGCTTTTTTCCGCCTTTGCGCTCCGATTCACAGTGTGACAATATATAAACATATAAACATAGATATCCATATCCATCCCTTAAAAAAAAAAAAAAGAATCTATGTGCATCTCTTGCATCATACCCATATCCACTCTGCTTGGTCTTTCGTAACATCTGTTGAAATTGGAGCGATACAGCGAAAGAGGAGATTAGCAGCATGGCCCCTGCGCTTTCAACGATGATACGCATTAATTGAAAAATTTTCCTTTTTTTTAATTTATTTTTTGCCCCCCCACTGCTTGCTATATCCATGCTCATATCTACGATCTTTCTCCTTCAATCGTTGGCGTCACAGGGAAAAAGTTCTGTGTTTGCTTACTGTCGTCGAATTCGTCGTTGGGTGTCCTCCCTATGCATTTCCACGTCTCTTTTTCTTATTAAAGTAATTTCTCTCTCTCTCTCTTTCCTCTCCCCCCCCCCCCTGTTTTTTTCTGCGTGTGGCACTGGGATTGTGTGTGGGAATGGGACTGTGTACGGGTGGACAGAGTGGGATCCACTGCCAAAAACTAGTATGATAGTATAGTATTTGTTTCGTCGAACATTCATCGAATGTTTACGGTATCATCATCAGAGGAGTAAGTCGTGTGTGCATGTGTGTGTCTCCTCCAATTTCGCGTATCATCCGTGCGCAGGGGCTCCTCTCTCTTCCCCCTCTTCTCTCCCTCTCTCTCTCTCTTTCTCTCTCTCGCTCTTTCTCTCTCTCTCTCTCTCTCTCTCTCTCTCTCTTTCTCTCTCTCCCCCTCTCAAGGCTGTCGTGCGTGAAGACGTGAAGGGTTGCCTTCACGCTCGACCCGAAAGTGCACCCTCTCTTTCTCTTTCTCTCTCTCTCTCTCTCTCTCTCGCTCGCTCTTTCTCTCTTTCTCTCTCTCCCTCTCTCTTTCTTTCTCTCTCCCTCTCTCTCTCTTTCTTTCTCTCTGCCTCTCTCCCTTTCTCTCTCCCTCTCTCTCTCTCTCTCTCTCTCTCTCTCTTTCTTTCTCTCTCCCTCTCTCTGCCTTTCTTTCTCTGTCTCTCTCTCTCTCCCGCGCTACCTCACTCCCACCCTCTACATTCGTTCGGGCCTGCTACTCCATTCTTTGTGTTTTTTTTCTTTTTCTTATAGCGGGACAGGATTTGTGCACGGCCGATTGATAGGAGAGGCAGGTGGAGGAGGAGGAACACTACCTTCTTCCCCCGTATAGAATGGCCCCGGTCATTCTAGCCGTATTTGGTGCACTTTTCAATCCTGATACAACTACAATGACCGGGCGTTCTATTCGAGTGAAGACGGTAGGGGGAGGTCAGGTGCCTGATGAGGCAGCGAGGGGAGACGGTGCGAGAGGCCTGCCCTGCGCCCAGAAATGGATGTCCAGTGGGAGGAGAAGGTTGCCACCGAAATCCTCCTGAGGGGCTCGGGTAGTAGGAGAAGAAGGATGAAGGTCGGGATCTGGTCGCGGATAAGGAGGATGAGAGAGGGTCGGTATCTGGTCGGTCGGGATGACGATGCGGCGACAGAGAGGAAGGAGAAGGAGAGTCGCCGCCGTATGAATGAAGCATGCGAGGTAAGAATGCAAGGAGATTGTCGAGGAGGTGAAGGAGGTTGTGGAGGGGGAAGACGTCGAGGAGGATCCGTAAGTAAGTGGGAGGAGTATGTAGGTTGGGGAAACAATTTGTGTTTGTGAAGAAGGCGGGGACGTGCAG